AAAAATGCTACCTAACAATATTTATTTAAAAACAAAACATTTTCTGTATATTCATGCACAGTATGTACTTACTTTGGCAACAAAGTAAGTACATACTGTGCATGAATATACAGAAAATGCTTAACGTAAATATATCTATAATTGTGTCTTTGTTTGCTAAAGAATGAAATGATAGCTTTGATATCGTGTGCCAATGTTAATAGTTTCTGCAAAAATATCTCTTCAAAGACCGTACTCAGAACAATTTTCTTTACTAATTTTCAATCAATAGTCGATTATTGTTTACCTGTCTGGGCCATGGCTGCCCCTTATCTGATTCAAAAAATACAATCTGAATTAAATAAAGTTTATTTTCTGATACACAAATTCTGCAATTTACCAATTACAAACAACCACGATGTGGCAAGAGTTCGCCTTGGTCTTCCAAATCTTTCTGATCGCTTAAAATATTTTGACCGCATTCTCTGTTTTAAATACTTCAATGGTCTAATCTTCAATTACTGGCTAGGTCTCCGCATCCCTACTGTAAGAACTCGTAATACATCATGCTTCTTCATCCCTTTTTTTCGCCTTTCTCTTTCCCAAAGATCTTTTTTTTTACCGTATAGCATCTCACATACAGCCTGTTGAACCTTATCTATATCGTGATTTTAATTTTTTTAAAAATAAATGTAAATCTATTTTATATAATATATAATGTATCTGTTATCTTACTTAATTTATAATTTTTTTTATTATGTCTGTTATATCTTTTATATTTTGTAATCATTTTATTGGGGATCATTTTTTTTTTCTTTGTTATTGGGGGTGGAATACAATCGTCTCTGACGTTTCCAATTAAATGTAAATAAATAAATAAATAAATAAATAGCATAGAAATTTGTTCTGCAGAAGAATCATTGCACGACAATATTACAGAATTACATTTAAAGGATATATGCACTTTATGTACACTTAAAGAAATACTTTTATGTATTGTGAAAGCATCTTTCAAAATCAAGATCTAATTGCAACTAAGCATTCTTTGTCAATTTTGGAAGTTGCAAAGGGGTAGGAGTAAACATTAAGTGCTCCAATATTTTAAAATGTGATGATTCTTCTTCAAATTAGTTGATAACAGAAATATTTTAAAATTAATTAAATATCTACTAATATGGTTTAGATAATGATAAGGACTTATCACACCAGTGATAAGAAGCACAGACACTCAGGTATCAATGTAGACAACCACTCACCACACTGGGATATGGTTAATCACGTATTCTGAACCAATTACAGTGTGTAGATGACGAAAACAAACAAAAACAAATGTTTTCGTTTGTTTTTGTTTTTCCTTTTGAGTCCTTCATCAGATTTTTTAACATTTCCTCAATGGATCTTCATTTTGGAATAAAATTTGAACAAGAGTTTGAATATAAGTTTGAAAACCATGTTGCGCCTGCACAGAGAGTGGCCCTACCAGGACTTAACAGTTAATCCGTGTTGTCAATCAACTCTTGCCAGCCCATTGACAAAATCATTTTCTCTTTATAATTTATGCATGCTCCCCACAGAACACCTCAGATGGTTGGAGGTGGTGCACATTTTTAAATCAAGTTTTACATCTACGTGCATAAATTGTAAAGAGGAAACGGTTTTGTCAATGGTCTGGCAAGAGTTGATTGACAACACAGATTAACCATTTGTTGAGTCCTGGTAGAGTGACTCTCTGCACAGGTGTGACATGGTTTAATAATTTTTCAAACTTATATTCAAACTCTTGTTTGAATTTTATTCCAAAACAAAGATCCATTGAGGAAATGTTAAAAAAATTTGATGAACAACTCAGAATGAGTTCGAAAACATTTGTTTTTGTTTGTTTTCATCTGCACATCGTAATTGGCTCAGAATATGTGAGTATCAATGTAGTACATTTAATAAAACGAAAGGGATATACATTAAAAATCAATTACATAAGTATGAGTAATTAACATGAATAACCAAAATGCATTTTGGACTATTGAAAATAGTCCCTCATCAGTTGGTATTAATATAAATAGGTTATGATTATAATTATACAAGGCAAACAAATGCTATAAAGGTATGATTAGTGAACATTAAATGGGTGCAGAGTTGACAGGCATAAGGCAGCTTCATAATGTTACAAGGTAGCTTGATGTAAAGGTTACTAATACAAACAGTTTTATGAAGCTGCCTTACACCTGTCAAATCTGCACCCATTTAATGTTCACTAATCATACCTTTATAGCATTTGTTTGCCTTGTATAATTTTAAGTATCATAACCTATTTATATTAATACCAACTGATGAGGGACTATTTCCAATAGTCCAAAATGCATTTTGGTTATTCATGTTAATTACTCATACTTATGTAATTGATTTTTAATGTATATCCCTTTTGTTTTATTAAATGTACTACATTGATACCTGAGTGTTTGTGCTTATTATCACTGGTGTGATAAGTCCTTATCATTATCTACCCCACATTAGTAGATATTTATTTAATTTAATTATACTAAGGGCTAAAAGCAATTCTTTATAGTATTTTTAAATGTTAATCAAGTTTGTTTTTCTAGTGGTATATGTAAATCATCATCTTATTATAAGTATACTGCATTTATTTAATGCACACACTGCAGAAATGTTTGTTTCACATCGTTTTACAACAATTATCATCCACAAAATTGTGCTCCCAAAGAGCAAACAGCTTGAATAATGTTAATAAAAATGTCTTTTTTTATTAAAAAAATTGGTATTGAATAATGTTAATCTCATTTGTATCTTATTGTCTTTATAAATAAATTATAAATACAATAAATATAACATATGAATCCTGTATTTACATGAATATTAAAAAATAATTTTTAAATAAATATAAATTTAAAAATACCAAGAATAAAATGAAAATTATAGTTTAATTAAAAAAAAAACCAAATTATCAATACATTATTAAAAATATCAATGAGATTTGAAACATCAATTTCAAGATTATGAACCTGGCATACCCCCACTGAGCCACCAGCTACTCTGTAAACAATAGATATTCTAAAGCTTTTTAAGTGATTGTTGTAGTTTTCAACTTTAATTTTCTCTTTTAAGTTTGAGATTATACAGAAAATGAAAGGATGAAATATCATTAACACTTTGTGAATATAACTACTATATACATCATGCATAGAGAATGATATCAGACGGGAAAATATATAGAATGTCTATGATACTGCTATAACACTTTTTTGCTTTTTCATTTATATGAATGTTCTTCAAGTAGCTGCTACCCAGTGGCATAGCATGGGTGTCAGCCGCCCGGAGCGGAGGAAAATTTCGCCCCCTTATTTAGGTATCTCAATTTAAAAGACCAAAATTCAGTTTTGTCACAGAAGAAGTAATGAAAAATTCCGTGCTAGTGTTGCCACTTTTTTAAAATCAGTGACCCAGACGGCAGGTGAGGTTTGTTTGAACAGAAGTTCCTGACGCATGTGTATGTCATTTTGCAATGCGAAGAATAATTTGCAGTGCATGCTGGTTTTAAATCAGTTACAGTTAGCGACTAGGGAGACTTGGATAGGAGTAACGCAAATGTCCTAGCTGTATTGGACATTAAAGGTGTATATATATACGGATAAATTGTACAATGCCAAAAAAAAAGGTTGACAGGTTGTGCACGATATCCCCGGATGGTGAGTCAATTCCCAAACTGTCCAGATGGTTTCTGTACTCATTTCAATTGGTCCGAATCGTAGGTGCACGAAAATATGAAATAAAATGGTTCAAATTCTTAAAGATATTATTATTATTTATTGTGAAATTTTGCTGCCCCCTAAAAAGTGCCGCCCAGGGCGCCCTCACTACGCTACACTACTGCTGCTACCAAACATAAATATTTACTGAATATCTTTTTTTACTGAAGAAACTGATTAACTGTTGACATAAACACACTCCCAATAACCTTATATAAATCAGCAAACACCTTAAAAATTCCAAAAACACTTTAAACTTTAGCTAATATTTCTGGCCCTTGTCATGCAACCATCAAATGCTATGCAACACTGAATCAATTTCAAACTACAAGTTTGAAAGTGATTCAGTGTTGCATTGTAATTGATATTCTAATTATATTTGAAAGATTGTTCCATAAGAAATAACTTGATGGTGGTGTTTGAAAAGTGCCAGAAACGTTAGCTAGAGTTTAATTAAAGTGTTTTTTGCAGTTTTTAAGATGTGTGCTGATTTATATAAGGTTATTGAATGTGTTTATATTTACTGAATATTTAGAATTTATACTGGTATGACTACCACCTATATGTGAACTTAATAATGATAACAATAATTAATCACTATTAAAAAGTCTGTTAATGATATTTTATTGTAATTCAGCAATTTTATTCTTGTTTGTAATAAATGATTTTAGAAATTAAATTTAAACACATTAATTCTATGATTACAATTAAAGATATGATAAATATGTGTAACTTAATTTTTCTGAATTAAGTTAAGCAGAAAAATTAAATAAAATTTAATTTTGTCCCATTTATAATAAAATATAATATTTATCTTCAAAATTTTATTTTGAAGATAAATATATTATTTGAATGACATCTTTAATTTTAATATTCATTTCAATTTTAAAATGAATGTTTTTGAGTTATTAATTAAATTATTCCAAAATTATTTAATTATTAAAGGTGTGAATTGGTAATTTTGTCTAACTCAAGAAATAAATTTATTTAAATATCAATGTCTATCATTAACAAAAAATAATTTAATTTTTAGATTACAGCTTCACTTTGACTTTTATATGTTTATCAATAAATTATTTTAAACCTGAAGCTATTCTAAAATTATGACACTATAAGTATGATTTAAAGACATTTAATATTAAATTTTAATATTTGTTTGTTATGTAATAATAATTCAGTTAAAATAATTTTAATCAAATATATTAAATGTTTTTTTAGTTACATATTGAATTTACTTATAAATTTTAAAAATTATTTCAGGAATGTGCTCAGGCATTTCAAAATATGAGTCAAGAAGCTGATAATACCAATTATATTCCACTTGCTCTTCATTTAGCATCATCTCACTTTATTGAACATCCCAGTAGAGATGTTCGACTACTCATTGCTTGCTGTGTGGCAGATGTATTTAGAGTGTTTGCTCCTGATGCACCTTATAAAGATCCAGACCATTTGAAGGTATATAAAAATATAAAATGCATTTTATTGAATTTAGCATTATAAAATTAACAAGATAAAATACAATAAAATAATATTTAAGCATTATTTTAATAAAGATATTGGTTAAGTTACAAATTTAAAAAGTTTAAAATGAAATAAGTACACCTTAATATAATATAGTTTTAATAACCCAAAAACATTTTTGATCTACTAAGATAGGTCTTCTTTGGCTGAAACAACAAAATTTGAATGAAAAGAACATTTTAAAATCAAACAAGTAAATTTCAAATTGAATGAAAAAATAAGAAATTGTATAAACAAAAATATAAATGAAAGCATCTATATATTGTATTTTTGAAATTTCTGAAATTTGTCAAGAAAAGGAAGAAAAATTTTGAAAAAATTTATTTGGAAGCTATTATTATTTGTGGAATCAAGATCAGTGTCTTCTCTTTCTCACAAGATTGATAGCTTTAACACTATGGCACTAGTTTTGCATCAATTTATAATTTGAAGAAAAAGAATGATTTTACCAGATAATACAGATGCTCCACTAGTTATGAACAGGTTAGGTTCTCAAGGTTTTGTCATAAGTAAAAAACTCACCTATAAAGTATATTTGTACACAGAATAACCATATATTGTTAGCATTTGATCCTTCACTGTACTTAACAGAATACATTACAGTCATTTTCCTGCTTGCTACTGCTTAGTAGCAGGTGTTTCAAGTACAGTTTTTTTTCTACATAATGCACCTAGTTTTATAATGAATTTTAGTTTCTACAGTAATAGAGTGATACTTCTTGCATTTATCTCCATTACTTGATTTACTAATATATTTTGGATGCATTTTTGAAGCACTAATCATAAAAGTTTATAAAAATTGAAAACAATAGTGAAAAATGTTGTTACTCTAACATTATCAACTTCAACATCACTTTACCAGTGGTGATGGAACATCAGAATTTACATGAAAATGAAAAATGATGATATGAAGTAGAAATAAATTTACATCAATTATTTATTACTGGTCAAAGACTGACTTTAATACACCCCACAACTGACAAGAGAACTTCAAAATCCATGCAAAATTAAAATTTTATATGTAAAGTCAAATTGTTTGTAAGTCTGAAAGTTGAACATTCTTAAGTAGGGGAGCTTCTGTAATAGTTTCGTAATGAATAATGGATATAAAGCTCTACAGTTTCCAAGTGGTAAGGAAGGAAAATGAAAGACAACATCTGTGGTGGTATTACCAGTTCTAATATTAAAACTGTTCTTTTTAATTGGATATTTTTCATTGTTTTTAATTTTGATGGCCAAATAGACTATAAAGAAAGGTTGGTTATCAAAAATTGTAATATGTAACATTGAAACTGAATAAATGCAATTCCTTTTAGCAGATTTTGTCTTCAATTTTAAGGTTTTTCTTAAACTTAATTTCCATCTGGTGATATTGTATAATTGAATTGAAGTTTCCTAATGATTCTTTTTTTTTGCATTTTTCTTTCTGTTTTCAATGATATTCACAGATTCACTTGTGTGCCATTGGCAGCCATATAAAACTTCAAATGCTTTTAATTTCTGAGAAGTACATCTTTTGAAAAAATGTTTCAGATAAAAGATTTGCTTATTGGTTTTTTTCTTTTGATTTAGAATCATAATATGCAATAAAAAATAAAAAAAATGCACATTCTTTTGTAGGATATGTATTTTTTGAGTTGTTCCAGTGGATTGATTAAAATTATCTAAACTCATAAAATTCCTTTTATATATTTGTTATTTTGTGCCAGTGACATTTTTGTGTTCATTAATTCATTATTAAAAAAGTTTATCACAGATAAACTTTTTATGTTAAACTTTTATAATAATGAATTAATGTTTAAAAATGAAAAAGTTTATCTGTGATAAATTTTTTATGCTTAAATTTTAATTTTGCTTGGATTTTGAAGTTCTTTTGCCAATTGTGGATGTATTAAAGTCAATCTTTGATCAGTAATAAATAATTAATGTGGATTTATTTCTATTGCATATCATCATTTTTCATTTTCATGCAAATTCTGATGTTCCACCACCACTGATGAAGTGATGTTGAAGATGGTAATGTTAGAATAACAGCATTTTTCACTATTGTTTTCAATTTTTATAAACTTTTATGATTAGTGCTTCAAAAATGCATCCAATATTTCTGTGATGACATTTTTATGTGTTCATTAATTCATTATTAAAATGTTTAACATAAAAAGTTTGTGTGATAAACTTTTCTTACATATACTCAAATGATATACAAATGGAGTTTGGTTGAGACAAATTCAAAACATTCCACATTGAAAAAGGAGTTGTGAAGAAAGGAGACTTTCTACTTAGAAGTGAAAATATCATTGAGCCCATGGAAGAATGAGAGTTCTACAAATATTTAGGATTCTAACAGACCAAATTTACAGAACACGGACAGATAAAACAAAGGTTAACTTTCAAAAACCAGAACAGATTATTATTTGAGTGCTAAAAACACTGCATGATTACATGCAGTGCTAAAAACACATCTAAATGCAAAACATGATATTAAAGCAATTAATACATTTGGTGTCTCTGTATTCACTTGTTCTTTTGGATTTAAATGCTGGACATACACAGAATTTGAGCAACTCCAAAGGAAAACAAGAACAATACTTATTAAGCATAAACAACATCACCCAAAATCATTCATAGAAAGACTAATTCTTCATCATAAAGGAGGCCTTGGCCTGACTAATATAATTAACCTACACTACAAACAGATACAAACACTATAGGGGTTTTTCCACAAAAGAAGGAAACATTGAGATTACATAAAGCTATAATGCTGACAGACATGCTGACAGACATGCAAGTTTAATGATGTGTAATAACACATCATTAAATTTACACCTGGACATAGCTCAACACATAAATAACATAGACACCATTAACCTGTTCCATGTTATTCCTGACATATCTCGGGTCGCAACCTGCTGACCTTGACTGGTGGATCCGAGATAACTCATTTCAGCATCGGAATGTTTTTGAAACTAGATGTCGCTAGTTGTTATAATTTTTATATTAAAACTAACTTCCGAAATATAATTTTTTTGTTTTTACAATTATTAATATAACTATTTTGTTTGTGCAAAATAAAAAAATTTTGGACGATACAATAGCCACGATTATTTTTTCAAAAATGTGTATTTTTCATTAGGCTTAACATTGACAAAAATTCAGCATGGCACGACATGCAATGAAGAAAAATTTCAACATGGGATAGGTTAACCAGTTATGGTCCAAAAGGCAATTTATGGTAGGCAATCCTAGTTCAGAAATATGTTGACTGCATAAAACTACTAACTGACTAGGAGCTGTCTGTTTGGAGAGACAGAAGGGTTTATGATTGCCATTCAAGAGCAGATCATAAACACTAAAAACTAGAGAAAACACATTTTGAAGGATATTGACAAATAAACTTTTTCAAATGATTCTTGCAGAAAATGCAACATTCTGCCAGAAACAATAAAACATATAACCTCTGAGCAAGCTCTTAGCAAAAACAGACTATTTACATAGACATAATCAAATAGCAAATATAATACACTAAGAACTTGCACACAAACACATTATTAAATAAAACACCCCAAGCTCCATATTAAAATATACTCCACAGTCTGTACTGTATTTTCACAGATTGTCTGGTATGTTGGGTCTATCTGGAGAGACCATGAAATCAGATATTTCTTTATGGTAATCATTGGCATGCTGGTTTATTGCAGGGAATGCTGGCATGACATTTAAATGAGATTATATATCCCTCTCCAGAGAGCATTTGAAACTCACAGATGCCAGTTTTTATTCTAAAATTGTGAAACTGTCATCATTACATCAAAGTCTATAATTATATGTTTAATTTCTGCATTTTATCTTCTTTCTAACAATCTAAAATACTTGTGGAATACTGAAAGTGCTTTTTTTTAATGTTTATTTTAATATAATTTGATCTAGAAACACAAAAATAAACATATCAAGTTTCAGAAAATCACTGTAAATTATCTCAACTTACACTTATTAACATCCACTATGTGTAAAAATTTGAGAGGAAGGTGTTATCTTTTACAATCACGGTAGATTGTCAATGCAGCCCACATTCACTAACTACTATTATTACTAATGTCAATAAGCTGCTAATTGTTTTTATTGCTTTGTAAATGAAAACTCTCTTCCTGGTTGTAAGTCAGTCAAATTATAATGTTATTATTTTATTGTATTCAGAAGAATGTTTTCTTTAACATTTATTTAGCAACTAGTTTTGTTAGATTGATTAATTTTATTTTTTTAGTCACAGTTTAACTGGCATGCCATTAACACCATGGTTTTTGGCATGCTAGGTCAATCTGCAAAAATACAATATTAGATAATGACATACACAAAGTATACTATGACAGAGCCATAACAACAGATAAAACAATTTATCACAATAGACCTTGCTTCACTTTTATCAACAAATGCAATAAGATTGCTTATATAATATCTATCTCCATTCCAAACATTCATATATGAAAAATGCTCACACTGAAAAAATCAATAAGTAACTCTATCCACTTAAGAAATAAGACAGATGTGGTAGATGGATAAATGTTTATTGTACCTGTTGTCCTCTCTTCCACTGGTGTTATACCAGAATCACTATATAAAAATCTAGAAATGTTAAACCTTAATAAAAACACATATATGACACTACAGAAAGCTGCAGTATTGAACACATCACATTGTTAGGAAGTTTCTAGATGTTGACATGTACACCAGTAACACAGAAGCTTAATGTTTCACTTGTTTGGGTATCTATACAGTCGACCCCCCTATAACGTACGTTCCAATAACGACAATTCCTATAACGTAGCGAAAAAATTGTAGAAACTGTCGTATAACATACCTCCCATAACGTCGTTTCGCGACAAGATTGATAGAGTCTGGACCAATAGTGGATGAGCAGCTGAACTACTTACCTCCGACCCTGCGCCACGCTACGGAGCGGCTAAATTGAGTTTGCTATCATCTGTTTAGTATTATATATAAATTATATATAAATTAGGTACTGTACATATAATTATATATTAATTATATATAAATTAGGTACTGTATATATAATTATATATTAACTTAATTTATTGTAACTTTATTATAATTATATATATGCTTTCTGCCGCCTGGCAACACGCTACGGAGATTTTAGGCTAGTAAGTTGAGTTTATTATCGTCTGTACAGTATGTAAATTAGGTACCGTAAGTCTAATACAGCACTAATTTTATACATTTCTTGTGAAAGAAACACTTCTTATTCAACGGCCATAAAAATTATTTATATTAATGATGTCTCCAAAGGTCAAGTTATCTTTCTGCGATAAATTATTTATCAGATATCGCGGCCGCCGTTTCGTGTGCTGTTCCGCGACGAAGACAAGCTTTGAACAACGGGCGTAGTCGAACGGTACACACTCGGTAAGTAATCCTATAATTTTTTGTTTATAGCATAGTTTATACGGATTACTCCCAAAAAATTATACGTGTTTTGGAAATGTTGAGTCGAATTAGTCTAGAATCGGTTAATTTTATAGAAGAAAACCTTTCGAACAGCCTTAGTCCGTAAAGTTCCCACCTATCGGGCTGCGATTGGCTCATGTATTTAATCGTTCCTACAACGTAATTTTCGGTTAGCGTGGAACGTATCTAAGCGTTGCAGGGGGGTCTACTGTACTTTGACTTATCCAGCATAGCACTTGGCACCAGTATCAGTTAGGCATGACATTTGCAACATAAATAATAATAAAACTGTTTTAATTTTGTTAATCAACATATTCTGAGACATATTTTAATCTTTTACATAAAAAAACTTTTATTCGTTTTTCTTTTGTTACTTTTTGAAAAATTAATCTTTTAATTTTTGATATTTCAGGTGTTGTTTGAATTTTTCATTGACCAACTTCGAGGATTAGAAGATCCAAAAGATCCTGTATTTAAACGTTATTTTTATTTATTAGAGGTAAGTTTTTAAGAATAACTATTTCAGAAATTTTATCAGCATTTTTGCAATCTGCTGCTTAGTCACTCCATTGCTTTTTTTTCTGGAAGATCTAAGTTTTGAACAATGCAGAAACAATACCAGATTTTATACTGCAATTTATATTCATATTGGATGACTCTACATAGTATAAAACAGCAAAAATTTATACATGTGCAGCCAAGTAACAGCTGAAAGTGCAGAATGCACTTATATTTATTGCCTCCATGTTTTGAGTGGAATGTTTTTACACATGCATTGAGATACTTGTTACAGTGTATATACCAATTTTTGTTATAGAGTGTAGCTGAAGTGGCGTACTTTGTATAGTAAAAAGTTTTCTTACAAGTTGTAAATGATTGTGCTTCTGTTACCATTTATGACAAGTGCACATGAGGTTTGTGTAAATTTATAGCCATTGTTAAAATAAATAAAACTTATTAATTAAATATTAACCAGTTTTACTGGTTACTTTTCCAGCTTTGTTATATATAACAGAGGGAAAGTATGGCAACTGGTCAAAAAAGTGTTCCCTGAAGATTTTTACATTTTTGGACTTGAGACTAGTGATGCCACGAATAGTGATTTTGCCGAATACCGAATATTCGGCTACACTCTCAGTTGAAGTGCCGAATATGTGTACATTTTGTGGGTGACAGGTTACGACCTGTCTCATTGTAGTGGGTGTGGTAGCGACACTGCAGGCACATTTGTTTTATTTGCGAGTAGATCATGTCACGACATGCATTATTTGTTTGTTGTTACATCAAATTGTGTTACTAATAGTCCTTATTACTAAAAAATATCACTGTTTATATCACTTTATATGAAAACTGTACTGTTTACCTAGATCTGATGGCAGACCTTTACAAATGGTGGTCAGCAAACACAAAACAGTATCCAAGCCTGACAGAATTTGCTAAGATTTATCTATTGTCTCCGAGCAGTAGTGTATATAGTGAGAGGCTATTTTCAGAAGCAGATATAGTTTATGAGGAAAAGCACAATCGTTTGCTTTTCCTCATAATCGTTTCAACAAATGCTGAAAAAATTGCTTTCATTCATCACAACTTACCACTGATAGATTTTAAGTATTAAATGTAATAATTTGTGATTAAAATAATAATGTTTTTGAGTAATATGTGTAGTTTTTTTTTTTTCATGATTTGGTATTTGGTATTCTGCCAAATAGTATGCAACATTAGGCCGAATACCCAATAGTAGTCGAATATTCATAGCATCTCTACTTGAGACCTTTGTGAAACCACCGGAAGGGGGGGTAGGTCTCCCGATCCGGCAACAGGTTGTTAAACCCTTTCACTGTCAGGATGGGTGGTTGAAGGGTTCTTTTCCCCGTTGTAACGGGGAAAAGACCCGCCACTCGACGTTGTAACGTTGACTCAGCCACTCGACCCGTTGTAACGGGTCGAGTGGCGGAGGGAGGAGCGCGTCGGTGAGACGACAAGCGATATACGAGTAAACGAGGAGGCCAGATATAACATAAGGAAAATGAACAATTTATTAAACCAAGTAATACAACATCTAGTTTGCGTCCCTAAAACGCGGAGAGACCGAGAGAGAGCTTACAATAATTGGTTCCATACCTCTTGATCTGTTATCCACGCTACTCTTTGAATTAGGAAAATTTCACTGGCTAGGAAAGTTCACTGATGTAGGAAAGATCACTGGTTAACTATTTAAATCCTGGATTTAGGGAAGTTCACTAGATAAAAAGGACACTGTTTGAAATTGATCTTCTTTCGGCACCTGCTCTGGTACGACTCCCCTGAGAAGGGGAAGGAAGGGGTTTTTATAAGTTCGGCGTGGGAGAATGGTCACGTGATTGATTGTTGTGAGGTAAAAGGTATGTAGATGGGTCAGAGTTGTTCCCGGGACCATGCTAACTATCAACTTTGGCGTTGGAATGTGGGATTAGTTTCGAATTGAACGGATGTTTATGTCGAACATAAACGAAAAGTTTTTTTTCCGTTAGGTTCCACTTTAAGTTAAAGGAAAATTTAATTAGATTTTAAGCAAATACAGGACAATTAATCGACAAATAGTCGACAAAAATTCCGGATTTCACACCTTTAAATGTTGAGAAATGCAAAAAAATTTAGAGGTTTTTTCTGTATGTATGGATGTTTGTGTGTGGGGCATGCTTTTGTTCACCCTCTTTAAAGCTTAATAACTCCTGTGCTTTTTGTTGAAAATTTCTGGAGTTTTTCAGGGAGGTTTGTTTAATAAGGAGATTGATACCATTAAATTTTGGTATTTAACAGTTGAGGGAGTGGGGAGATAAAGGGAGTCATGTGTCATATCTCAAGTGGGATTAGACTTGATGATGGTTTTACGTTATTAGCATTTAAAATTTTTTATAAACCCATCTCTACCCTCAAAATTAAGCTTTTTATCATTTTATAATAATTAAAAATATAAAAAGTTTTTAAATAAAATACAACAGATGGCACCATCAAAATTTTAAATACCACCAGGAAAGTTAAGCAACTCATTTCTATATTTTTTAAAAATTTATTTTGCATTTGTTTTAAGAAATTGATCAATATTAACCTGCAATCACATATGCTTAATTTTAACACATACATGCATAAGGAAGTGATTTTCTGCTGATTTTTCACATGTAATTACACTGTATGTAATAGTCATTCCTCAAATTTGGCAAACATGAAAAATCTAGTAATTTGTCTTATCTCCATGTGTCAGATTTTAATGTCAAATGTTTAGTTTATGAGATATTTTGTTTACAGAAGTGTCCTTGACTAAGCTTTCATGGGAGTCCTTGAAACTTTGCAGTACTGTAGGCTATTGTGAATGACTTCATCTGGAAATAAATGTTTCTCAGAAGAACCAGAAAATGATTGTTTTTTATTTTTCAGGCACAAAATAAAGTATGAAAAATCTAAATTAGAATTGTTGAAGGTAATCCAGATAATTAATTTGGAGACGAGCATTCAAGGTCATAATGACTTGCAGATTGCCATGTGATTATATCATGCATAGCTGATAAACATCCATGATGTCATGAGTACCTCTTGTGGTAATCATGAGTTATTTCCATGATATTTTTGATAATGACAGAGTACACATGTGATTGCATGAAAAAGTTGTATGCAATTGCATGTGGAAAGTGGTAAATTTACACTACATTTTTTTGTTTTTGTTTTTTTTTTTTGAGAATTCATAATAATCAGAAAAAATATTTCAACCAAAATTTTTACACAGCTGGATAGCATGTAATATGAGGATATTGTGGAAGCACAGTTTGGAAGTCAGTTTGGTGAAAAAGTTCTGTGAAAAACTAATAAGTGTGGAATATCACTGATTTTGAATGTGATTGCATATTAAACTTGATTTTAAACAATTATTGGTTTAAAAATTTCATTTGACCATGTTATTAGAGAATAAAGCATTTCTGCATTTTAAAAATATTTTTTATATTAATATTTTATTGTTAAATAAAAATGATTACAACAAAATTTAAATTTAAAAAAATATAGATAAAAATTTAATTAATACGCTGTCTATAGCATAAATAAATATAAAAATAATCTAAATACTCTATATGTATGATTTCCAAAATTACAGTTTGATATGCATTTTTAAAAATTTATTTAGCAAGAAAATAACTTTTAGAATGGCTTTAAATGGTTTGTTACATTTTGTCATTGAAGTTGAACTTGGTATTACATTCTGCTAATGATGAAAAATTAAATGTCAAATAATAAGTAAATATATTGTTTTAATTTTTATAACGATTATATTCCAGAATCATAAAAGTCTTCAAAACTTGGCACCAATATAATATAATAATAACAAAACAAACAAACTGCTAAATTTTAGATTATCAAAAAATATTTAATTAGAAACATTTTAAACCTTGATTTAGGTCATCATCAGCTAAGAGTAAACAGAATAGAATTATTGAACTGAAATATTGTAAATGTTTTTAAACATATTTTGTATTTTTTTTATTCTTGTCTATGCTGTTCATACATATATACATGTAATATTATTATATATACAGTAGAGCATCGATTATTCAACTCAATTGGGGACTCAGGTTGGTCGGATAACTGAAAAATCGGATAACCGAAAAAAATGAAAAAAATACATTATTAGTATAGTATATTAGTATATCCCATGCAATTAGTATATTAGTATATTGCTATTAACCAACTTCACATTGAATTTTCATCGATGTTAAGCCTAACAAATTTTTTTAAAAAATAATAATTGCTGCTATTGTATTGTTAAAAATTATTTTTAAATTACAGGTAGCCCTCAGTTTACGCCGGTTCAATTTATGCTGATTCACAATAACGCCGCTGCGCAATTCGCCGTTTCGAGGTGTAATTCCCCGATTTTCCCTATGCTAGACTGATTTTCATTTCAGTGTTGACTTATTTACCGAGCCGCGACATTGTACATTCGTTAAAACAAAGATTTTTATTGAATATATTTATTTTTTCTGTTTAATATTTTTAGGTATGTATACATTTACATTAAATTAATACTAAAATACTAAACGTTTAGGTACCCACGAGTCAATATATTAAACTTAATAGTCCAATAAATGGCGTCCGAATCCATAGTGCCAATGAATGTATCCCGTATCAGTTTGTTCAGGAAAACACCTTACAACGCAATAGCATTTCCGGCGATCACAAATTATCGTTAGTGAGACAATTTACTTCTCGTTGGCCAGACGATATTTACCTCTCCTTAGCCACCTTGAAATTTCCCACTCAAACTGACCTTTTATATGCGCTAGGGCGACCGGTGGTTGACCAATCAGTGTCTTTCCTTGTCCGTAGCTCTACGTCGGGTTAATGTATCCTTTCAACTAAGGAAAGTTTGACGGATGAAGTTTGTGAGTTAGACAATGATTGGGAGCGAAGTGCAAATGTAAAAAGGAACATCATATTCGACCATATTCCAAAATTCTTAATGAAAGAAATCAAAAATATAAACAATTAAAGATGGATACTTATTTCCGAAAAATGTAAGAAATTTGAAACTAAAATTTTTAAATAAAAACATTTTACTTTATTTTATATTAAAATACGTTTTAAAAATTAAATTTATATGTATTTTGTATTATATTGTATTAATAAACAAAATTATTAGCTTATTTTTCACTTATGTAGAATCTAACCCTATACCTCACTGTAAATATGGGTTCGTTTTACGCCGATTCGATTTGCGCCGGCTTTTGTAGGAACGGAACTGCGGCGTAAACCGAGGGCTACCTGTATTTTATTGCTCACAAAACAAACAACCACTCGTAATTAGAAAATTAAGTCTCGTTTAAATACTGGCCGCCCTTTAATGATTGAGCCATGTTGCCAGCTAAAACATGCAAAAATTTAACAAAAATTATATTAAAGTAGCCAAGACATAGCCAAATATTGTAGCACTACATCACTAGCTGACATTTGAAATTTGCCAACTATAGAACGGTCGGTTAACCGATGTGACGGTTAATTGGGGGTCGGATAATCGATGCTCTACTGTAGTTTTTTGTACTTTATTTTTTAAAATTTTAATTTATTGAGTTAATAATATGTATAATATAAATTACTTCAATTAATATGTATAATGTTAATTTTTATTATAAAATAATAATGTCAAAAATTTTTTATTTAGAATTTGGCATGGGTTAAAACATTTAACATATGTTTTGAACTGGAAGAAAGTCAAATGATTTTTTGTCAGCTCTTTGCTCTTATGTTCAACATTATAAAGTAAGTTATTTTATGTTTGAAATAATAAACACATTTTTTAATTCAAAGTTTTAATAATATTCAAGGATTTACTTTTCTGAAACTGAAATAGAAAAAAAACATTTATAAATTAATAAGTTAATACAATTTTTTTAATATATAATTAGATGATGATAATTCATTAAAGATATTTTGAAAATTCAAAAATGGTTTTCAGTTATTATCTAAATAAATGTTTAGGAAATAACTCTTACTTTAAACTAAAAAAGGCACTTTTATATAATAATAATTTATCATGGTATTTTAACCATATAATTAATACAATATATTGATTTGATTTATTTTTTTAAATGTATTTAATTATTAAAAATATATATATATTAGATAAGTCAAAGTAAGAAAAAGAAATATCTTGTTACAAAGTAGTAGGGTTCATATTTATAATGTTATTATTCAAATTAAACTAATTTCTTTACAGAAAAATGGATAAATGTTGCAATTAATTAATTGAATTTAATGAATGTATAAAATTTTACTAAAATACCAAAATTTGATAAAATTATTTCACAAATAAGCAAACTAATTTGAATTATTATATAAATTTAGACAATGATTTTTATTTTAAAAATACAAATCATAGAATATTAATTGTATAATTAATATATGTAGGGAGATCAAGTAGCTTTTGGTGGTCTTATATGATAACAAGAATTTATTTACAAGAACCTGAGATACACAATGATAGCCTCATCTGTCCTCTACTTTTTGACATAACCACCATCCATATCCAAATATTTGTTCTACTTGTATACCAGTACCTCAAATTTCCTTGTGAAGAAGGTCATATCTACTTCAAGTGAATAGAGAACAAGTGAAAATTGCTTGGTTCCATGTTAGGGCTGTAAGGTGGATGTTGCAGTTGCTCCCAATCCAATTGCTGAAGATTTGCTGAAGGCATTTCTATCTTACTGATAATGAATGGGGGATACCAAACATAATCCCATCTAATTAAAATGATTCAGAGCTGTAAGCTGCAAACCACCTATCTTGCAGCCATTTTTCTGTACCCTAGTGTTTTCCAAATAATGTTGTGAGCTATGCCAAAGGAGATTTCCAACTGTTTGTCCACCTCATGCACTTTGATTCTTTTGTTTTCTTGGATCAAAGAATTTACACATTCAGCATTTTCTTTCTCAGAGGATGGACAATTGGTTTACTGTTCATTATACATATTCATTCTTTCACTGAAGAACTCTTAACATCATTTCTACATGGCCTGTTCAGACATTACAACTTCTCCATAAACCTCAAACAGTCTTTTGTGAATTTCATTTCTGGATTGATCTCTAGCTCATTTACACAAATTACAGTCTGCACTTCCTTGCTGATCCATCTCTCTTAACATTCAAATTTCCACCATCTCTTTCAGTTAACAATATAGTGGACATGCTTGGAATGGTGAAAACTTCCAAAAGATATCTTCTGTACATAACTGGGACATACCAATGTCACCACAACAAACCATATAGACAACAAATGTTGTTATCTAGGGATGTAGTCCTAATTCATACAAATCATTTAATGTAGATATGCCAGACCACTGAAACTTATATATTGATCTCCCCCTAGTATTAGGATTCACTTTTATTAAATAAAACTTGTAATTTTAATTTTTTAATTTAATTTACAAGTTGAAAATACATGAATTGTTTGTACTTGCATTCAAAATTATAATATATATTTAAAATATTCATGATTAAATTTTAATATTCTGATTCAGTTGTTTAATACTAGATTTACTAAATCAGTAAGATTTATTCAGTGGACAGTGATTATAGAAATGATTATTTAAGATCATGTTTACATGACTATTAAATGATCTAGTAAATTTTTTATTTTATTTTAAAATGCTATAATAATGATTTAACTTTTCAAATTTAACATTTCAATAATGAAAATATATATTGTATTTTTGTGATATAGCCTTGAAACACAAAATTATGACTTCATAATACAGTCAAACATCTGTTTTTGAATGCTCACTTTTTGAACAAATCTGTTCATGAACAAAATTTTAAACTCATAATTGCATCAGTTGCCTCAAAATAACTTGGTTGCTGGACAAGAGATTAGACAAGAATGGGAGTTGACGATCTGTTGAACAAGCTTGGGAGTTGACTGCCTGTGTGTCTCTCAGACACGGATGAGTCAACTCCCTATACTTCCTGTGTTAAGGAAAGTCAATGACCTGACCAGTCAATGACAAGCCTACTGATTCAGAAGTTAGCAGTCCTGAGATTATCTTGTGTTATTAGATGTCACGAATCAACAATAACATTTCTGTTTAAATTAGATTTCATTGTGCATATTACTTTCATTTTTTGGTATGCACTGCAGTTGAATTTAAATCAAATTAATTAATAAAAACCTTATTAATCGACATTCATATAATATAAATGGCATCCAGGAATTCATGTTTAAATGTGCTTAAGTTAAATTAAATAACAAATATTTATTATATATAAAACAGTATTATATTAAATTTAATATTAAATTGCATTTGTAGGTATTTTTATGCATGAAATACAACTAAAAAGATATAAAAAAAGGCTTTCTTTTGGGGGTCAGGAACGGATTAATCCATTTTATATTGTTTATGAGAAAATATGTTTCAGTTTTAGAACAACTTTTAGGAATGAATTGTTTGAAAACCAAGATTTAATTGTATTATTAATTAGTTTTTAATATATTTTATTAAAATAAATAATTTATTCATTTTTTGCTTATGAATTTTGCAAGAAAATATGTATAAAAATGAATTTTATAATTTAGTGATAATCATTCTCCAAAAGTAAAAAATTTTATGCTTGATATGATGTGCCCTTTGATTATTGAGGCTGATAGTGTATCCCAGGAACTTCTAGATGTTATTTTTGCTCAAGTAATAGAACCTAGAAAGGTAAGTTATTTTTTGAAATTTAAAATATGTTTTGAACTTGAAATCATAAAAATAAAGAATATGATATATTTATTTAAAAACTATTTATATATAAATCATTTTACTAAAGCGTAAACTTTGTCTTAATGAACATTCTTCAAAACTTTGTAATTATATAGTAACTAATTATTTCTGAAATCTGTATTTTTAAAAATGTTTGGGTTTATTTAATTATTAAAAATTAAATGAAAGCTAAAACTTTTTATTTAGCAATAGTAAAATATTAAAATACTGGTTTGGAACTTTATTAAACAAATCAATTATTGAAATTGATTAGCAAAAACAAAATACAGTGGCAGTGAAATTTGTTAGGAATGAAGATCAGTATATTTAATTAACATTGAATTAATTTGTCTTCTTAATAAATATATTTAAACTAATCATTCCAAAGGATTATCTTTTCTGTGTAATCTTAAAGCTAAATGTCTTTTGTGCTATTTTTATAAGAAGAAGATAATTTTCAGAACAAAGACTAAAAATTATTTAAATAGATTTAAGGTTAGGGAATCACCAAATCAGATTGGTTGATATTCTGCACAAATGTTTCAATTTTAAGCTTAAAAAATGAATGGATAAACTAATGTTCAGAGACAGTCTCCTGGAAAACAAAGACAAGATATATTTCTAAAATGTTATAGGAGAAAAATTAGAAATGTTTAAACAAGTTTATGTTATTTTTCCAAATGATATAAGTATATATCAAAGAATATGTAAAATTTATCAGGATCTCTTTGGAGTAAGAATATATATCAATCAAATGGAATCTCACAATGGAATTCCTGAAGGAGATGAAAAATGATTAAAATAATAGCTTAACAAGAAGTTGTAGTATCAGTAAGTGGATTAAACAATAAGGGATAAGATGTGTTCTGGTATCTTAAAACAAAGAACAACTGAATTGTGCTCTGCCTGTTACAAAAAAGTGATTATCTTTTCACTCTGCATGCCTGGCATTCCATTTTCAGACATTGATTTACAACTCTATGTTTTGTTGTTGATACAGTTTTAGGACTGACTTTGTCTTATATTATGTTGTTATAATTTTAGATGAGATAAAGTTTCTTCAATCATTAAGAAAGATTATATACAAAGAATTGATCAAATGTTTTCTTCAATCTGCATCAATTGGATTATTATGACTAAAAAAGAAGCTTTAGAAAACTTCATCAGGAAAGTTTTAATGAATAAAAAATGAAAACTTGATTTTCTGCTCAGCTTTATTGAAGGTTCAGAAAATACATTTACATTTTCCATTTTTTTTTTTTTTTGGTTCTGTTCTCTCGGTATTTACACTGTTCTGGTGATGTTTAAGGTTAATGATATTCTTATTGCATTGTTGTCCAAAGCAGTATGTTGACACTAAGATGAATTTCATAGGGAAATATTTTTCAATATTTTTTTTATTGAATGTCAATAATTTAAAGACAGTTATATGTGTAAATGCAACATAATAATAAAGAAATCAAATGATAACATTGCAAAAACTAAATTATCAATGAATTAGTAATTAACCTAAAATCTCAATATTAAAATATTATCAGAAATAAACAATTGAAAATATATATCATGATGAAAGTTAATTGCTTCTATAATATCTATCAGAAATATATGATAATGGTCTAACTTTCACCTATAAATGAGTTTAATCTTTATGTACTACTTTATATATGTTTAACTGTAAAGTTTTACCACTAATCTGTGCATTCATAGAAATTTTAAATAACACTATCAAAACATATCAAGATTATGCATGGACTTCATGAAAGCTTCTTGTGTGCTGAATCTGGTCCAGGGGTCATAATTTGTTTGTACTTGCATAAAGCTGTAATGTTATTAATGATATTCAAAGGATTCTGTAACACTTATACTATACTATAAAGTAGTGAGTTTTATATTTCTTTTTGATTTCTGTAAACATAAACTCAGAAGATTAATGATTTGAATAAAATTTGATTAGTGATGATATTGTCAATGAAAATCACCATTTTAAATAAGTTTGTAGTAATGAATGAGTAATAACTTTAGATTTGAATTTAAAATATATATAGTGTATTATATTTTTTAGTTTTAACATTTTTTATCACCTTTATATAACAAGGTGTGTTATTTATAGAAATCTCCACACATTTTAAATAAATAATTTAAAAAAAATAAATTTTAAATGATATTAAAAAAATATTTCTTTATTTATTTAACTTTGTTTTTTCTTAATAGTCAAACTTGCCCAACACAATTTTATCCTTCATGGAATAGTTAATGAATGTTAACATAGAGTCATATCTTAAGTAAACAACATTAAATAAAATGCACAATAAAAAAAAAGTAAAAATAAATGCAACTATATAATAGTATAATAATTTTTGTAAATTTTATAGACTGATAAAACACTTTTCTTTAAAATTATTTCTTCAAATGTAAAAATGGATTCTAAAACTGTAATCTTTAAATAAAACTGAAAAATACAAAACTAAAGTTGGTATTCAAGATGAGTTCCAAGCATGGGCATCCACAGAAAATTTTCCTGGGGAGGGCAAAGCTTGAAGACAATTACATCAATAAATTTTTATTTGTTTAACTTTTTGGGATTTTCAGAATACNAACTTTACAGAAATGATACAACTATATAATAGTATAATAATTTTTGTAAATTTTATAGACTGATAAAACACTTTTCTTTAAAATTATTTCTTCAAATGTAAAAATGGATTCTAAAACTGTAATCTTTAAATAAAACTGAAAAATACAAAACTAAAGTTGGTATTCAAGATGAGTTCCAAGCATGGGCATCCACAGAAAATTTTCCTGGGGAGGGCAAAGCTTGAAGACAATTACATCAATAAATTTTTATTTGTTTAACTTTTTGGGATTTTCAGAATACAGTATTGCATCAAAATGTCCCTTGATTGAGAATGTAAGATTGCATAATTTCAACCACTGTAACAATTATAATTTGTGAAATTTTTTTATTCAATCCCAAGGGAGGGCAAATGCCCTGTTTGCCTCCCTCTGCAGATGCCCATGGTTCCAAGCTTTAGCTGTGCATGGCTAGATTTAAATGCATTAAACACAATAATGAATTATAAATGATAAAAAGTTTTTTAAATGTAATAATGATAAAAGAAATATGAAAAAATTTTACTTGCCATTTTCTTAATCAATAATTGAAGTGTCACANAAATAATAGCTTAACAAGAAGTTGTAGTATCAGTAAGTGGATTAAACAATAAGGGATAAGATGTGTTCTGGTATCTTAAAACAAAGAACAACTGAATTGTGCTCTGCCTGTTACAAAAAAGTGATTATCTTTTCACTCTGCATGCCTGGCATTCCATTTTCAGACATTGATTTACAACTCTATGTTTTGTTGTTGATACAGTTTTAGGACTGACTTTGTCTTATATTATGTTGTTATAATTTTAGATGAGATAAAGTTTCTTCAATCATTAAGAAAGATTATATACAAAGAATTGATCAAATGTTTTCTTCAATCTGCATCAATTGGATTATTATGACTAAAAAAGAAGCTTTAGAAAACTTCATCAGGAAAGTTTTAATGAATAAAAAATGAAAACTTGATTTTCTGCTCAGCTTTATTGAAGGTTCAGAAAATACATTTACATTTTCCATTTTTTTTTTTTTTTGGTTCTGTTCTCTCGGTATTTACACTGTTCTGGTGATGTTTAAGGTTAATGATATTCTTATTGCATTGTTGTCCAAAGCAGTATGTTGACACTAAGATGAATTTCATAGGGAAATATTTTTCAATATTTTTTTTATTGAATGTCAATAATTTAAAGACAGTTATATGTGTAAATGCAACATAATAATAAAGAAATCAAATGATAACATTGCAAAAACTAAATTATCAATGAATTAGTAATTAACCTAAAATCTCAATATTAAAATATTATCAGAAATAAACAATTGAAAATATATATCATGATGAAAGTTAATTGCTTCTATAATATCTATCAGAAATATATGATAATGGTCTAACTTTCACCTATAAATGAGTTTAATCTTTATGTACTACTTTATATATGTTTAACTGTAAAGTTTTACCACTAATCTGTGCATTCATAGAAATTTTAAATAACACTATCAAAACATATCAAGATTATGCATGGACTTCATGAAAGCTTCTTGTGTGCTGAATCTGGTCCAGGGGTCATAATTTGTTTGTACTTGCATAAAGCTGTAATGTTATTAATGATATTCAAAGGATTCTGTAACACTTATACTATACTATAAAGTAGTGAGTTTTATATTTCTTTTTGATTTCTGTAAACATAAACTCAGAAGATTAATGATTTGAATAAAATTTGATTAGTGATGATATTGTCAATGAAAATCACCATTTTAAATAAGTTTGTAGTAATGAATGAGTAATAACTTTAGATTTGAATTTAAAATATATATAGTGTATTATATTTTTTAGTTTTAACATTTTTTATCACCTTTATATAACAAGGTGTGTTATTTATAGAAATCTCCACACATTTTAAATAAATAATTTAAAAAAAATAAATTTTAAATGATATTAAAAAAATATTTCTTTATTTATTTAACTTTGTTTTTTCTTAATAGTCAAACTTGCCCAACACAATTTTATCCTTCATGGAATAGTTAATGAATGTTAACATAGAGTCATATCTTAAGTAAACAACATTAAATAAAATGCACAATAAAAAAAAAGTAAAAATAAATGCAACTATATAATAGTATAATAATTTTTGTAAATTTTATAGACTGATAAAACACTTTTCTTTAAAATTATTTCTTCAAATGTAAAAATGGATTCTAAAACTGTAATCTTTAAATAAAACTGAAAAATACAAAACTAAAGTTGGTATTCAAGATGAGTTCCAAGCATGGGCATCCACAGAAAATTTTCCTGGGGAGGGCAAAGCTTGAAGACAATTACATCAATAAATTTTTATTTGTTTAACTTTTTGGGATTTTCAGAATACAGTATTGCATCAAAATGTCCCTTGATTGAGAATGTAAGATTGCATAATTTCAACCACTGTAACAATTATAATTTGTGAAATTTTTTTATTCAATCCCAAGGGAGGGCAAATGCCCTGTTTGCCTCCCTCTGCAGATGCCCATGGTTCCAAGCTTTAGCTGTGCATGGCTAGATTTAAATGCATTAAACACAATAATGAATTATAAATGATAAAAAGTTTTTTAAATGTAATAATGATAAAAGAAATATGAAAAAATTTTACTTGCCATTTTCTTAATCAATAATTGAAGTGTCACAAAGTTTATACAAATTTTAAAAATGATAAAAATGGTGATATTTTAAAAAATTATTACATTTATATTTTCTCTTTTTTATAATATATTTTCTATTTTTTTTTAATTAATTAATAATATAAATAGTAACTGTATTTAATATATTTAAAATAATTTGGTTAATAAAGACTACTAATCAAGTAATAAATTTCTATTTAATTTTTAGTCACAAAATAAGAATTCATATAATCTTGCCAAAGATATATTAAAGAAGACATCTAGCACTTTGGAACCTTACATTCAAGCAGTATGTATAAAATTATAATAATTTATAATTATTATACTACATATTGTAATATAATGGGTTGGGCAGAAAGGACGGACATTTAAAAAAAAATCACATCTGTAATTGTTACTACACAAGATATTTGTTGGAAGATGTGAGTTCGTATTGAAATAACATTTTACAGAATCAAGTATAGAAAATAACATCTCCTATGTGGTGTCTGTTATCAGTGATACATTTCTGGAGGTGATTTTGGCAACTTCCATGCGAATAGCTTCCTTCAGTTCTTGCAAAGAATGGGCTTATGCTCATATACATGTGCCTTGAGATGTCCCTACAAGAAATAATTGCACATGGATAGGTTGGGCGAATGAGGAGGCCAATAGTGAGGTTGTGGCCAAAGTTTTCAATGTACATGAACGTTCAGTGCTGCCTTCCTGTAAGCTTTAGAAGTTTTACAATGGTATTTGGAACATCGAGCATGATTCCACTGATGTTCCAAACATCATTGTCAAACTTCTACGTTTACAGGAAGGCAGCACCAAATGTCAGACATACATGTTTTTGCGTTGAAAACTTTGGCCGCAACCTCACTGATGAATGTCACCAAACTTGGAAATGAGGTGACCAGGGAAGAGATGACAAATAACATCAATTGATGTTCTAGTTATGTGGGCCATTGCCCCATCCCACACGTTTGATGGGAATACATTTCCATCATATGCAATTATGCTGAAATATATTCCCATTAGATGTGTATGACTGAACAATCCCCCTCTGCATACAACGGTTTCCTCAGCCGTATGCAAACACATGGTGTTCTATTGTCCATGGCTCTATGTCTTCAACTGAAAAGACAATGCTAAGACCTCACTATTTTCATGCTACCTGCCACAAATTTGCTACTCTAACTGGTGGTGAGTTCTAGCCATTTCAAAAATGTCCTTCCTTTCTGCTCCACCCTGTGTAATTAATATAAATTTGTTATTTCATTATGATTTAACTCATATAATAGATCTCAGAATATTTACTCATAAATACAGTAGACTCCCCCTGTAACGCTTAGATACGTTCCACGTTAATCAAATTTTACATTGTAGGAATCATTAAATACATGAGCCAATCGCAGCCCGACACGTGTGAAGTTTACGAACTAAGTCTGTTTGAAAGGTTTTCTTCTATAAAATTAACCGATTCTAGACTAATTCCACTCAACATTTCCAAAACACGTATAATTTTTTGGGAATAATCCGTATAAACTATGCTATAAACAAAAAATTGTAGGATTACTTACTGAGTGTGCACCATTCAACTACGCCGTTGCTCAAGCTTGTTTTCGTCGTGGAACAGTGCACAAAACGGCGGCCGCGATTTCTGATAACGAATTTTTTGCAAAAAAAATAACTTGACCTTTGGAGACATCATTAATATAAATAATTTTTATGGCTGTTGAATAAGAAATGTTTCTTTCACAAGAAATGTGTAAAATTAGTGCTGTATTAGACTTACGGTACCTAATTTACATACTGTACAGACGTTAATAAACTCAACTTACTAGCCTAAAATCTCCGTAGCGTGTTGCCAGGCGGCAGAAAGCATATATATAATTATAATAAAGTTACAATAAATTAAGTTAATATATAATTATATATACAGTACCTAATTTATATATAATTAATATATAATTATATGTACAGTACCTAATTTATATATAATACTGTACAGACGATAGCAAACTCAATTTAGGCGCCTAAACTCTCCGTAGCGTGGCGCAGGGCGGAGGAAAGTAGTTCGGCTGCTCATCCACTATTGGTCCAGATTCTATCAATCTTGTTGCGACACGAGTTGGCGACGACATTTTAGGAGTTCCTTTATACAAATATTGCTACAATTTTTTCGCTACATTATAGGAATTTCCGTTATAGGAACCCACGTTATAGGGGGGTCGACTGTATTATTTATTTGATTTAGTTCCAGTTAGATTTTTTGATTATAGTATCAGTAAATGTCATGGGTAATACATGTGACCTGACAGACTTGGATAAGGCCTGATTATTGGCTGTTGGGCCCTGAGTGGTACCATTTCAGAAACAGCTAAATTTATGCTAAGTTTATGAAATGTTCTTGTGCTGCAGTAGTGAAGGTATATCAAGAGTGGACCACTGGGACAATTTGATTTGCCAATTGTGTCACTCCACATACCATTGATCTAAGAGGGGAACAGTTGGTCAGGAGAAATTGACATGCAACTGTTGAACAACTGATCATCAAAATGAACTCAGGTGTGAACAGAAAGGTTTCCAAAACCACACTCCAGTGAACCCTGTTATGTTGTGGATTCTGGAGCAGGGTATCTTGTGTGAACACCTAATTATTGGTAACCTTTCAACAGTGGGATGGATAGTCAAGGTATGGTGCTATCACAAAGTAATGGAGAATAAACGTGGGAAATTTTTAAAGTATTTTTTTGCACCTTTTTTCTCATTACTGTTTCGGAAAAAGATTTTGTAAACAGTTATGTCTAGTAAAGAGAAGACTTTTTTTATTGTTACATAATTCATTTTTTAGGTGAATTTTTTTTTTGCAGTAGTTTTTGGTGATAACCCCAAAAGAATTTAATGGATATATCCGTCCCTCACCACTGCCACACGATCGCCCTCGATGGATATAGCCAGTGGTGATATTCGAAATATTTAACAAAGGGTTCGCTAACAGAAAATTTTTCCTTAACAATTTTTTTTTTTTCGCTCAAATGGTGTATTAGCAACATTAGCGCAAAAAACTGACCTTAAGATACTTATATAAATAAAAAAGTTGCGTTCGCAAAATTAAGTCAGTTAAAATTTAACATTGTTTATGCCAGAACTATATTTTTTTGATAAATAATAATAAAAAAGTGTTCAAAATGGTTTATTTTGTATATATTTTAATATTTTTCATTCAAAATATTTTATAAACATAAAAATTGGCTTTTTTTAAATCAGAAAAAGTTATAGGGAAAGCAGTTTAACAAGAAAAACTCTTCTCAATCATTTATTTTAT